AAAAAAAAAAAAAAAAAAAACATAAAGAAATTATTGGCATTGTCGAATTTCCTGAGTTTCATTTATGCTGGAAATCAGTGCATTTGGAGGATTTTGATTCGGATAAACAAACAGCACACGAAGAAAAAAAAAATGTCGAATCTATACGGTGGAGATTTTAATCAAAAGATCGATTACGTGTTTAAGGTTGTCCTGATTGGAGACTCGGCTGTCGGGAAATCCCAGCTGCTCGCCAGATTCGCGAGGAACGAATTCAGCCTCGAATCTAAGGCCACGATCGGAGTCGAATTTCAGACCAAAACTCTCGTTATCGATCAGAAGACGGTCAAGGCACAAATTTGGGATACTGCTGGTCAAGAAAGGTTGTTAATTGTAACAATTTTGTTAATTTGCAACAATAGTTAACCAATATTTATTATGGAATCACTATATGATCTATATGGTTCAAGATTTTTTTTTTCAAAATTAATTAAAAAAGATCCATTTATATTTATATTTGAAGTTTTTTTTTTTTGGTTACAAATGTGAAATTAGTTTAGAAAAATTAAGTATTTTTTTGTGAATGGTTAAATTTCTTTTATGGATCTTGTTTAAAAGAAATTTTTGACGTTTACATTCCTCTTTTGTCGTTACGATAGGTATCGGGCCGTGACGAGCGCATACTATCGAGGCGCGGTTGGCGCCATGTTAGTCTACGACATGACCAAACGCCAGTCGTTCGACCACATGGCTCGGTGGCTCGAGGAGCTCCGGGCCCACGCGGACAAAAACATCGTCATCATGCTAATCGGGAATAAATGCGATTTGGGGACATTAAGGGCGGTCCCCACGGAGGATGCACAGGAATTTGCCGAGCGAGAGAATCTCTATTTTATGGAGACATCTGCGCTTCAGGCGACGAACGTTGAAAGCGCGTTTATGACTATTTTGACCGAAATATATCGGATTGTGAGCAAGAAAACACTAGCGACGAGCGATGGGTCGGACTATGCCAAGTCGGGATCTTTGAAGGGCACGAAGATTATTGTCCCGGGTCATGATTCGGATAATGCAAAGTCGGGTTGTTGCATAGGTTCATAGTTTTTGTGTGCTAATTAATAACAATATATTGTAATTACCTTTCAGAATTTGATGTAATGATGTTTTGTTTTACTTTTACAAAATGGAATGGGGTGTGGTTTTTAGAGATTAATTTGTAGCAATTTGTATGGTTCTTGATTTTTAATAGAATTTAAGAAGGCTTGTTTGAACTCTAGTTTCGATATCTATATCCTCAATAGATCTATGCGGCCAGCTCGGTTCACCAATATGATACTACCTCCTGTTTATTATAAATGTCGTTTTGACTTTTGTGATTCATCTATTTTATTATGTATCTAGACATTAATATGTCTATATATATAACAAAATGGATGAATCAAAAAAGTCAAAACGACATTTATAATGAATAGGAGGGAGTATTGTTTATTTTGAACTCTCGAGCAATAAGTTGAAATAGTCCAGAGATTAAGAGTGTTAGAATTAATTGGTATCTGTGGCTCAAATGAGATGAATTTCGATGGCTCAATATATCCTAAATTCTGTGCCTTGGGCCCAATATGGTAACCCACTTGATTTATGTGATCTTGGCCATTTTCGTGGTTAAGTGACCCTATCCGGATCGTTGTCCTCTTTGAATACATGGTGAATTCTTGTAGGGCAGCCCGAAGGGTTCATAATCTCTCCTACACATCCATTGGGATATTCAACATATGCTCTATGTTCTCTCTTACACTCTCTCAGTCTCTCTTCGACTTTGTGTCAAAATCGACCCTACCTTTGTATATCCTTAGAAATCTTTGTGATAAGGGGATTGTGAGTTTAGTAAAGGTCTTCCTCGTGTATTCAGCCAATCATTTGGGAGAGGTGGTTGGGGGTTTCGTGTACGGGTTGTTTTCTGGCCGAGCTTTGTACGACGGTCGGTAGTGTTATCGCTGGGCTTGCAGTGCCGGAGTTATTGTAGCCTTGAGTCCATCGATCAGTTCTTTGATGACTCATTCTGAGGGGTTGACGAAAAAGACTGAGCCTGGTCATTTTAGACCCATCCTCATGGCATTCGGACCCTCGTAGTAAATGTATGATAAGGTTGGTTAACCAACCTTATCCAATCCTATCAAGGCTAGTAAACGAGGCCTAACAGAACAAATATAGAAATGTTGATTGTACCATGCCATTCTAAACAGCAGCACACCACAACTGATTGCTAGTAAACCAAAATCAATTTTAGCACATAATAGGATTTAGTTTTGTAGCTAAAAATAAAATTCACCAAAAAAAACTTCTCACACTAATATCCACAAACTTGTTGAACATGTTCCACATTTTGAAGTATTTACCATGCATGTAGACGTGGCCAGGTGCCGGGTCCGGGCCCGGCCCGGCCCGGCCCGCCGGGCC